AAAACCTTGCCATGCAAAACCAACACAGGCACACAATGTTTTGGTTTGCTACTGCTTCACAACCCAAAGATGTATGTATTTCAATGGCTTGTTTGAAGAATCTTGTGATCCTTATGGTCCCGAACTTTTACTTGTGATGTGTCCATACCTCAATGTGAATGGTGAATGTTATTGTTAACAGCATCATATTTCAGGCTACCTGCAATTGTGTAACTTGTAATATTCCGTATAGTATTAAAAAAAGGAATTTGAAAAATATTAAATGCAGTTAGAAATGTATAGGCATTGGATAAAGAAATGTCTGACCTGAATTCAGCAGAAGCTTTGGCTGGTAAAGGAATCAAGTGAGATAGCCTTCTGTAGACCACTGAAATGAGTTAGAGGAGGACTTTAAATATTTTTAAATTAGGAATTTCTTGTGGTCAGTTGTCAGTATTGCTACATGGTATTGAAATACCTATTTGTATTATTGAAATAAATTGAAATACCATGTAGCTAGGTATCTTTTTTTCTTCTTTTTTCTTTTATTTTAAACTTAGATTAACATGCAGGCATCTTACATGATTTTCTACACTCTCCCTAATCTGTTTTAATATGAAAAAATTAACTTGCAATATTACTTTTAAGAAATAGAAGCAAAAGCCAAACAGTTGTAATTCATATGGAACTACTGTAGTATTTTTTTTTTATGTAGTTGATGGATCTGATCATTAGGATATTTACTCCAATGCCTTAATTTAGTGAAAGGATAAGAAATTACAAGAAAGAGTTGCTCAATTTAAGTCACTTTTCCATAACCAATAGTTAAAAGACAGTATTTTGTAGTGGACCTTTGGGTGGGGGAAGGGTTCACTGTTCAAGACAGTAAGTCTCTGGGCTGCTATCAGGGATGGTAAATTTGAGATAAGCAGGATGTTTACGTAACTTCAAAAATATCTTTTTCTGAAATTTTTCATACCATTGTATATACATTACTTTGGTTTAGGACAAATAAGCAATAATCTGGTTTTTAAAAGCCTGTATAGTCATTATTACTGCTGGTTATAGTTCCTCAGAGAGGGAGTTAGATATACTAAAACACAGTCCCTCTAAACGTAGCTGTGTGTTCAAGATCCATTGCAGCACTCAGCACATTGTGGTTTTCCGTGCTGAGGTGGGGATGTTATAGGGTTTGACAGAAGAAGGGATGCACTCAAAGAAATTAACTAATCTGGAAACTAATTAATCCCAGAACAGTAATAAGTGCCAAATCTTCAGCTATTTTAGGCAGCTTTCTATTCATTCCAGCAATTGTTTTCATTGTGAAAACTGTATAATGTTTCCGCTTGCAGCTTTATGTAAAGGGTTCTCTGTGCAGTGTCTCTGGCATGATGCTACATAAACTAACATAATTTACTGGAAAAAAATATAGTAAACAAATGTATTAAGGTGCAGATAGGTAATAATTACCATACATAACTAAACTGCTTGTGTATTCCAGATCTAATGAGGACATAGAAGTTGTATTGTGGTTTACCCAGGCAGTCAATGCCGAGGCACTAGTTTCTCTGCCATCACAGATGTCAGCAACCTAAGTGGAAGTCTGGTGAGCTGAAATTCACAGCCCACCCCAGACAATTTGTTCGTGTTCTTGCTGAGCCACCTACCTTTGCAGATATGAGACTTATCCTCTGCAATTGCTGCAAACTTATTCCTGACTACCAATCTGTGTGCATGCAGTTTTGCAGCTGCATTACTCATGCCTTAGTTTTTCCATTCCACATCAAGCAAAGCTTTCTTGTTGCAAACAGGGCAAATAGATCTTCAAGAAAAAAGACACTATTCTTGTGGAACAAGTAAATACTTAAAAGAGAATAAAATCAGTGTTTCTTAAATTTTCTGTACACGTCAAGATTTGTGTTTCTGATCTTTTTTTTTTTCTTTTTTCTTTTTTTTTTTTTTTTTGGTGGGATGCAACTTGTTACATGTCTGGCCTGACAACGAGACTTGCAGCTCCTCTGCAGATTTTTATGAGAGGAAGGATTGCACTCCCAGAAGTGACATTTAGACTTTCCGTGTCGTCTCTTGTCCAGTCTGCTGTTATCGTGCAACCTTCTGCTAGACCTGCAAAAGATGCTCCCTTACTCCTCAGTAATGCTCTTCTCCCCAGCTTGAGGACAAGAGGATTGCTTTCCTACCTTGAACGTCTTCCTAATTCATCTCTCTACATTCTTTTTCTGTTCATCTTCTCACTCATCTTACATCCCTGATTATCTGACCTGCTTGTGAACTGTACTGAAACTTCCTACTTTTTGTGTTTCAGTTGATTGGTGTGTTTTGGGGGTGTTTTTTGGTACTGATGTGTATTTTGTGCCAGCGATATAGCTGCTACCAAAATGTACTACTGTGTTCCCATTGTTCCATTCTGTGAAGAACCATAAAGTGTTATATTGCACTGTAAAGTTTTTGTACAATAATGTACAAAGGTGAAGTAACAGTAAACTAACCTATAAAGGCAACAAAGTTGATATCAGTTGAGGCAAGAATGGAGGGGATAAAAGCTCTAGCTTAAAGTGAAGAGGAAGCCTTTCTTTGAGCTGTTAATGACTTGAGCAGTGGTTCAGAAAGGAGCAGCGTTCTGAAGTAGGTAAGGAACCCCGGCAGCAATGGCTTAATAGAAAAAAGCTTGCCAAAATTTGAAGGAGATCGTAGTATGGTGTTAGGAGACTGGGGCTAAACACCAGCTTGATAGACTGGAAGAGGAGCATGGAGAATTATGTAAACTACAGACCTCAACTGAGTTTTTTGGAGGTGTCTGTGACAATCAGAGAAGTTATAGTCCTCTGTCTTGCAGTGACAGTGGTCTTACTATGGCATCCTGAAAGTCCCTAGACATTTTGACTGCAGGGTTTTGTGATGACTGTGAGGAGAGATTTGCAGTATTGCAGAGGGAAATGATGAAAGTATGAATAAAGATTTTAGTGGAGGCAGGGTCGAGGTAAGGATTCTGGCGGTGTGCCAGAGATGGTGTTAGACATATTGACAGGGAAGAGGCAGGAAGAAAATGTAAGCTCAGGATGAGGAATGACTTGAAGGTGTTAGTTTGCTCCCAAGGATAGACAGTAAATCTTAGTTTATTGGCACCTAATGCTCCAAGGTCCATGTATGCCGTAACAGATAATATAGCAGTATATTACACAATAAAGTAAAGGCTTGGCAGAGGAGAGATGCCAGCTGTGCCACTCTTGTGATACCAGAGACAATGAAAATATTAGAAATTTTAATATTTAATATCAGTGTGCCAACCTGATAGGAAGCAGTGTGATGGTAGAAATAGATTTAATGGATCATTACTTTTAACTCTGTGTCCTAGAAGAAACCTACTAGTGTCTCATATGATTCTGAGCTTTAAGAATTACTTTTCCAGTAAACAATTATTCAGAATGCCAAGCAAATCACTTGCTCTGTTTGATTATACAAGGGTGAATTTGAAAACACATAGCTTTATTTCATTCCTTAAAGTATTCCTTGGAGCAATCGACAGCAATTTAGTGTTGTGTCTGAAGAGTAATATAGACCTTATCCAAAATAATCTGAGGTCAGTGGAGAAATGTTGATTTTAGGAGATTCTGGCAAAGGCCCATGTAAGTGCACCTAATAGTGTCTTTCCCTGTCAGACTTGTTTGTTAAACACACTGGTTACTTTTGCAGCTCTGGTGGAAGAAGTTTATTCTGCTCAACGGGAACGTGACGAGGCTGTCATGGCAAGGCTTAGGTTAGCCAATGAAGAGAGAGATGAAGCATTTCTACGAGTCCAGCGTTTAGAAGAGTCTCTCAGAGAGTAAGTATGCATTTCCTGCCCTGTGCAAAAGGGTTGTTGTGTCAGTCTGTGACTGTCATAAACTGCTCAACGTGGTTATATAGGAAAATTAGCACAAACTTCTCTATGATGAAATACGAGGCTAGTGCTAGTCTTACTGTGCTATTGGTTAATTTGTTAGCCATCCTACAAGACTGTATTTTTCTCTAGAGACTGAGAGCAAGGTGAATAATTTTGATCACAAAAATTAAAAATATAATCAAAACCTTTTGTATTGATTTATTCCAGGATAAATAAGACGAATGTGACATTTTATAGGGATCTTCTGACATGGAGTACCAGCATGTCAGTCAGAAGTTGTAATATATAGGAAATCAATCAAGCCTTTAAGCCCACCAGACATTTTCTTCAGCAAAAAATCTACTAATGATGTGGGTGATGTAGTAAAAATATATGGGTTTTTTCTTTAGCGTAGGAGCAGTTTGTAAGGCGATAAGGTTATAATTAATACTTCGTAGAGTTTTATGTGTGCCATATTAACACAGCAGAAACAGGCAATCTCATGTTAAAAAAACCTGTTACGTTAGGAAAGGAAGATCAAGAACAGTTTCTTTTCTCACTTTGGGATATAGGTAGCTTTGAAGCTACAGTTTGCCTCTCCATGTCATCCTTCTCCATTGGAATTGTGATGATCTTGGTTACCATCTGTGGTAGTCCCCCAAAGTCTAGAGGGGCTGACAAATTTCTCCTGTTTTTCCTACCAAGAGAAATACAAAGCAAACAGAGGAGTTTTTCATGGTAGGAGACTGAATAGGTGCAGTTGTTAGTTAACTAAATGGCAGGCAATTATGTTTTAAGTAATTGATTCTAGTAAGAACATTCTTTATGGCAGAAAACCAGTTGTTGTCTTTTGGGTATTTTTGTAAGTAAGGCCAGAGAATGTTATCTAAATAAATTTCAATAATCTGCACATAGTTTGTGCACCATTACTCTGTGGAATTTACAAGTTGCTAGAGTTTGTCACAGCCTGCGAGTATGACTCAACAGCAAGATTAGAAGATTCCATTCCCACAAGAATTAGTGCAGAATTTCTTTATGTCTCTACAGAGCCCATTATAGGTGTACATGCATCTGAAATCTTGCTTTGAGCAGCAATCTCTGAGGAAATGACAAGTATGCTTTACATTCCCCTAAGAGGCATCATAACTATGAGCCTTACTCCAGTCTTACCAATTTCTTCTGTCACTCTTCTAATTTTGCATGTTCCAAGAGTAAAGAAAACAAGAAGGTTTTGTATGGCCCCCAAAATAAAATGAAACTGTGTATAAGATGTTAGCATAAACTAAAGATCTTGGAGGTTAAAGCACTCAAGTCCTGCAGAAAATTCATTATTCTGGTCGACAGACTTAGTCAATGACTTTTGGTTTTCTAGAAGAATTCACAGGTTATTAAGTGTGTGAGAGGCTTATCGCTGCTTTTTCTGCAGTGGAATCCATAGACATGTGTGGCAGGTCTTGACACACATGAATCCCTCAGAACACCATCACTTGTTTTCCCTTCAACCCCTTCTGCCTGCTTGTATTGGGACTGGCTGAGATAGAGTTAATCTTCCCCATAGCAGCCCTCACAGTGCTGTGCTGTGTATTGGTAGCTAGAAAGGTGTTGGTAACACACCAGGGTTTTGGCTGCTGCCAAGCAGTGCTGGCACAGCACTGAGGCTGTCTTGGCAGCATTCCCCCCCACCTCACCAGGAGGCTGGAGGTGAGCAAGATCTTGGGAGGGGACACAGCCAGGACAGCTGACCCTAACTGACCAAACGGATATTCCATACCGTATGACATCTGCTCAGCAGTAGAAGCTGAGTGAAAGGAGGAAGAAGTGGGGGGCATTCATTTACTTACGATGTTTGTCTTCCGGAGCAACCGCTACATACTAAAGCCCTGCTTCCCGGGAAGTGGCTGAACATCACCTGCAGATGGGAAGTAATCTTTTGTTTTTCCTTTGCTTCTGTGCACTACCTTTGCTTTTGCTTTATTAAACTGCCTTTATCTTGACCGATGAGGTTTTTTTTCCATCTTGATTTCTCTCCCCCTGCTCTACTGAAGAGGGAAGTGACAGAGTGGTTTGGTGGATGCCTGGTGTCCAGCCAAGGTCAACCCACCACACTGCTTCACTCATGTACTGGAATACCAACTCAGTTTTAAGCAGAAGGATGAGAAAAGAGAAGAAACTCCATTTCTTGGAGAACATACATACTATCTTCCCCAAAAGAACATCTTTGCAGAAGGCACTGGATACACTGGTAATGACAAAAAAGGCCATTATGTGCTCCAAGGAGAGGGTCGGGAACTTCCTTGGCTGATAGCTTGGAGCCAAGTTATTATACATGATTGCTATCATTTAGAGTATAGCAATTGTTGTTGCCGTCATCCACTTGGGATCTTATTCTGATGCTTTATAGAGGGGTCTGATACCCTGGTGCCATTCACAGTCTCAAAATTGGCACAGAAGATTTCCCTGTGGACAACACCAACACTACACAGGTAAAAATTGCAGTGGGCTAACCAGCTACTTTTTGGTTCAATACCTGATACATGTTCCTCTGCCTAAACGAGTGAGCCATTGTTTGTAGCTAGTATCTCTTTCTGTATTTTCTGCAAGGGTGCAGATCGGGCTTCTGTGTGATATTTGCTGTCATGACAGCCAACACCAGGACACAGGACCAGGGACAAAACCAATTTAATTCAAAAGAATTGTCCTTGCCAGGCTGCATGGATACTGTAAGATCATAGTTCCAGTATTTTCCAGGATCTCCTGTTCTGCATTGCAGAGACTGATTGTGGCAATGGCAGATTGTTGGGAAGAGTCATAGCCAAGTCTTTCATGTCGTGGGTGCTGCGTGACCTGTCACTGAAGGCATTCTGCACACGAACAAAATCCTTAGGCAGATTCCAAGCAGGCTTATTCCTCCCATAGGGCACAAAGATGTTGCTGAAGGGTTCTGAAAAATGTCACATGCTTTTATTTCCATTGACAGTTTTAGTGTTAGTTATCAGAGCAGTAAAAGAAAAATCATAATTGACAAAAGCAGAGCGCCCAAAAGCTGCATTTGTTCCCACTGTAGAGTGTGTTAAGTTTGTTAATCATCCATGCAGTAAGTACTTAATGGTAATGAATCACTGGGCATTAATTACCGTATGTAATCCCCGTAAAGGGAGAAAAACTCATTCTTTATGTTCAAGTAATCATCATATTCACTGCATCAGATGTCTTAATATCTGTCCCTTTCCTTACCTTGCTACCCGTTCAGCCAAACTGGAAGTTTGATAGGAATGTCTTAAGGCATATCAGACAATGTAAGAAACTTGAAAGATGTCTTGCTCTGTTCCACCAATTTATATTCAGTATTACCTCATCCCACAGTGACTGCATGCATTTGCTCAACCTGACCAAGGTCAAGCTGACCACAGCTCTTCCCTGACGCATATCAGTCCTCTATGTGACAGCACCTTCTAGATAATGTGATAGTTCTTCCACAAAGAGCAATGATATGGTACAGGGAAGCAATTCCTGTTGTGATTATTGGTTTGGGGGGAGGTTGTGTTCTCTTTCTTGAAAAAAGTTTTTTGCTGTTTTTGAAATCTGTGGGCATTACAGAAACAAGAAGGCAGGATTGCCTTCATCAGACTCAGCTGCTTTTCCTCTGGTCCACTTACTCTAAGCTTACAGGATGCTTATTCATGCAACTGTACACCTTACAAACAAGAAATGGTTGAGGGAGCCAAGATTCCTACTGGAACACCAGCCTGGCTCCAGCACTCAGGCTTTTCAGAACATTGGGCATCTTTACTAACCGTGGCAACTTCTCAGCTGAGGTGACAAGACACACATTTCTGTATCTGCCTGGATGTCTGGCATTTTGCAATGGGAGGAGCAAGCCAGGGCTGTGACTGGGAAGAGTCAAATTGAGGTGCTGCATTCTCAGAAGCAGAGTCAGCCCAACCCCATGAGGAAATTACTTTTCTCAGCCTCTTTATTTGAAGTAGTTTATTACTGTGGCTGAATGGAAATTTTTTTGGAGTTCACCTCACCACTCCACTAATCTTTTGGAAGGAACAGAGATGATGGGATGAGCCGTGAGGGACTTGGTTTATTTTTTTTAGTTTTGGAGTTTCTTCTGGAATCTTGGAGCTTTTCCAACTGCCACCCTTAATATTTTCTTCCTGATGTTCGTTGTTCAAAAGGTCAAGTTGTCCGTCTGAGACGTGGAGCACATAGAGGTTTGGGGTTTTTTAAAGAACGTTGGCTACTTGTGCCACACTCATCAAGTTTTAAAGCGCGGGTCACTCCTTCCATCTGCTTTGGACTTATTCCAGTCAGAGATCTTTACAAGAGGGCAATATTGAACAGCCTGCCAACCTTTATCAAACGCTTTAATGCTTTCTTTAAATTAGCAGCTGGAGCAATTCTGTTGCCATTATTTAATTGTAACAACCAAAATTCTTTCACTGCTTTTGGCCCTAGGGGTTACATTAGCAGAATGTGTGTAGAACTGGGGGGAAGAGGAATCCTTGGTTACTGCTGTTTAAAATCATGAAAGATCTAAGGGTCACTTATTGCCTGTGCACAGCACAGGGAGAGGTGGCAGGGCAAATACACAGCTCTGGATGGTGCTTTTTAAAAAATCCTGTCACCTAAGGAGATGTACGTACACCTACAGACAGATCCCTTGTGGCAGTAGTATGCTGAAGGGTTATACTTGTGGTAGAAGTTCCTGTTCTTTTTCCCACCCCCAGTTCTCCCTAAAGTATCTTGCTTACCCAGCCTGTTGGTTGGCTGGGTGATTTTGTTGGCCCACACTTTTAGCAAGGTAGAAGTCCTCTGGAGAAGCTGGGTCAGTCCTGCCAATTTACTTTGACAAATACCATTCCTTTCATTGTGAATACAAACTAGCCAGAGATCCATTTTTAAGTCCCACATGAAGTGGCACTTAGAGCAAGGTAAAAACCTAAAGCAGGAACTCTACAAGGAGCCGAGTCAAGGAGCCAGTTCTGAGAATTTGGACTTACAATATGTTTGTTATTTTATGATTTGTGTTACTTTGTGAACACAAGTCAAACCTAGCAAAGGTTAGCTTTTACTTTGTTTTGTTTAGTTCTGGTGCTGACTGTATATGTTGGAGTAGTTACTGCTTGTGCATTCCATATAAATATACCAGCTGTTGTACACTGGTAGTACATTCTGAAATATTGCTTTTTTATTTAAAGAATTGATTTTCGTACAGGTTGATTTACTGTGCCTTATGTACTGTTATCTGGTAAAACTAATGCTTTAATGTAAAAGGTGCTAGTGTGCTCTCAAGTGCTCTATGATGTTTGCTAGCTAACATCTTGGCTTCAAAGCAACACCTGTCACAGCACTGTTGAAAAAGTGTGTGTTGCTGTTTAGTAGATGTTAAATGGTACTATATCTGCCTTTTAAAATATCATATGCTAGTGACAGACCTACTTTTAGTAGGAGTCACCATTAAGTAAGTAGCAATGGAGTGGTAAGGTAACTTTAACATGCTCTTTTTTCCAGAAGAGAGATCACTTCTGTTTTAAAATACACATAAGTGTTTAAATAATATGCTGCCCATATAGCTAACTTTAAGTAAAATAAAATGCATACTGTCCCATTAGATTTTTGTGCTATCACACTGCTTTTGCACAGCCAGTGTTCAATGCTGTATGACTAAATTCCTGGTATCATCTTTGTATTTGACAGGTCAATATATGTTCTGTTGAAATAAAAAGGGGGCAAAGTGCAGGGGGGGGGGGGGGTTCCAGAATTAAATAAGGGCCTTGCAGAGAATTGAACTAGTTTTAAGGAAACTTCAGCTATGGGGGTTTTTCCTCATTTTGGAAGAGAGAGGTGGAAAAATAATTACTTTAAAATGGAAAAAAAAATCTACACAAAAGACCTGTCCTGTTTCATTTGGAGTGCAGTAAAAACAACAAAAATACAACATCAGGTAAAAGTTGTAAGCCCAGAAATAAATAAAATAAGAGCATCAGTCATTTCTATCGCTGGGGAACTTTCTTCATCTAAGCACATATGAACAATTGATCCTTGTAGTCATATATAGCAGTAAACATTAATAACTTAACAGTCTGAAGTCAGTGCTGAAGATATGGAGCATTATTGAAAGATGGAGTCGAGCAGGTGGCACTTTAATATGTTCAGTGTCATGGTTGACTCTAAAGACTAGTAGAATGAAATTACTTGAGGTTCTAAAGATTTAAAAAGCGAACTCATTTTGCTGCACTAAGGAAATGCTACTGATCAGGCTTTCTGTGTCCCTTTTTTCTAGGCTAGAAAATATTAACCCTGAAGAAAATGACATGGTAAGCCATTCTCTGAGGAGATTTCTTGATGTCAGTCTTATATCTTAGAGGCTTAAGTTCAATTGAGTGGGTTTCAAGAACTAAGATGTGGGAAAAAGAAGAATTGACACACTAATAATGTACATCTTTGCTGCAATATGAAAATTCAATAACTTCACTCAGTCAATTTACAATTCACATGTGCCTATTAATTAAAACCCTATATTAAATAAAATATATTAAAACTTCATGTCTGACTAACATATAATGCTGTTGGTAGACATTACAGGAATTACTGAACAGAATAAACAATGCAGACACAGGGATAGATATACTGAAGAATGGAGCTATAATTCTGAATCGAATACACAGGACCAAAGAACGTAAAAAGAAAATAATAGCTGAGGAAATGAATGCAGTAATAGAACAACGGGATGCTGCTTTGTCTCAAGTAAGTCTCTACAAGTATGTAATCACTCAATACCAGATTTCTTCTTTTTTTTTTTTTTTTTCTTTTTTTCCTTGCTTTACTGTTGGGGAAGAAAATTATTTTGTTTGCTTTTCTCTGTTGAAAATCTCAAAGATAGCCCTTGTCATAAATGGCTGATTAATGATCAACTGCTTCTTCATGGTAGTAGTGCCCATGGAAATGGCATGAATGCATTTCGTGAGAAAAGTTATTTTTGTATTTTTTGCACCTGATCACTAGCTGTCTCCTTTTTAAAAACAAAATCATTTTCAGTGTATTGGCCAATCTAAAGAGCTATGAAGGGCTTAGTTCTGTAGTACGCTGTGTTGGTATAATGCATTGGACGACAGTTAACTGGGACTCAAGGATTTGTGAAGGGCTATAAATGGCAGAAATATACATTAAAGGAAGATAATGGTACCACATGCAACAATACAAGCAATTCCTCCCTTTGTTGCTTTACATTCAGGAGATAAAAAACCACATGTGGTCCTTGACTCTAAAAGTCTTAATGCTTCTGCTACATGACTCGAAAGAAACTGAGGTCCTTTTTCTGCTCAGATACTCATTCCCTGCAGTTTCCTATTTTCACAGAACAATGTTGTCTTCATTCTTTTCACCATGAAGAGAGTCTCCTTGCTTTTCCTATCTCATGGAAGAGTTCTTCTGTTGTTTTGTTTTTCCCCACAGTTTTATTTCTGGAATTTTTACCTAGATTTAGCTCAATAGGATCAGGCTGTAGGCAGAAGCAGCCTAAGCAGGGAATGTATCTCCTGGAAAAACACAAGATTTTAGACTGGATGAAACTCCTGTATTCATCCCAGGCAAGAAATTTCGTCTGAGTCTTCCAATACTGAAAATTTAGATTATTAATGTGAGTTACCAAAGTTAGCCCACATCTAACTGATTTCTAGTAGATTTAAAGTCAGGTTTATGATCTTGAGTGGTATTGACAATGTTGATTAAATTTATGTTGTATTAAGAAGTCTCCTGGTAAAAGAGTCCCTTCTACACACTCTGTAATTTTCACTTTTTTCAATTGTTGTTTTTGCATTCTCTCCTACTTTAAGCTTGAAAGTCCCATCTTGCCTGGTGCTTAAAATATTTTGTGTGTCTGTCCAGTATGCGTTGCAAAGGATGTTAATGTTGGAACTTTACTTTTTCAGTCTGCTTTCTTTTGCTTTTATAATAATGATGAGCAGCATAGCTACTGGGAAACATCCAACAGTCCTACCAAAAGTTTATGTTCTTTCTTCTTTGCACAGGGCATTTGAAAAGTGAGCAGCTTTTAAGAGAAAAGCTTTCAGCAAAAGAGAAGGATCTTTTGATGTTTTTTGGTTTTGTTATGTCAGTTTTTGCGTCTTTGTTGGAGTGGACTTTCAGACATACTTAGACCATAAAACTTCTATGAATGTCAGAAGAATGTCGTTGTAGGGCATTTTAATATACATTTTAACTGAATTTATTTTTAAGCTGCCTGTTTAAGGAGTAATCTTTTCCAAGTAATCAGTTTGGAAATTATTAAAGATAATTATTTTATATAGTAATGGCTCAAGTGCCACAACTAGCAAAGCCATCTTTAGGCCTGTCAGCAAAAAGCAGGGGTAATGTTAAGTAAATAGTGCAGCTAAAAAAATAAATGAATAAAATATTAAATCCCTGCCAAATGAAAATTTAAATATTTGGTGTTAAACTGTGCTACTGTGATACCGTTTGCAATTTATAAGACCATTGTTTTAAATTAATTATTATTAATAGAACTCTATTGATCATGTATTGTGTTTTCACATAGGTGATGCTTTTACAGCTGTTACTCTTGAATCTAGAAAAATAGATCCTTGGAATTGAAGCTACCATTTAAACCTATGTTTCTCACTTGATGATTCCTTGGGAATTCGTACCGTACTTGAATTATTAGTAGTCTTTTGTTAACATTGCAATAGCGATAGTGCTAACAGCAAGAACAATAGGAGAGGGATTCCTACACTAGACCACAAAGGGACTAGATATAATTCAGGGGATGTATATGCTTAGCATAACAAATGCAAATTATTGGAAGTTAGATCTGAGGTCGCCTCAGGCATTCATAACATCTGCAAGTTAAATTTTTTTTCTTTTTGGTGGAGGTGACATCAAATATGATGGGGGGATTGATGCAAACAGGCTGAGACAAAGCAGAAATAGAGCAAAGCATTAGCGTGCTGTGGCTGTCCTCTGGAAAAAGCATTTTTAAAGTACAGAGGTCACTGGGCAATGGAAACTAAATGCTTCATGACACATTGTGGGAACACCGTGTTGCTCTGCTCCTACTTGATGTTGTGCGGTGCTGGAGAGGGCAATGTCATTTGAGTGACCACCATAACCAGTTCCACATGACAGAGAACTGCATACATGAAAACAAGGGTTTGGGCTGACTGTTTAATGAAACTGCATCTGTTTTCCTTCTTTATGGTTTTCTTCACAATAGGCTGCATTTGACAATTGAGCACAGTGAATATAAGTAGTATCTAGCTTTTGGGGTTTTACTTGTAGGATTTTTGATTTTTCTCAGTAAGAAAGAATAACACAAAAACCTTCACAGCTCAAACACATTGCTTTGATTTCAAGTAAGGAGTAGGTTACATTCCTAGAGAATGGACATTCTATAAACTGTGCATTTCCTATGACAGATTACTTTCAACTAGTGTTTGAAATGCAGCTTTGCAATACTTTTTCTGGTAGTTATACTATTAAGTTGCATTTAACTGGACTGCTATTGCAGCATTCTTGACAATGATTAACTAGTTGTGATTCTTCTATTTGAATTTTACTTGAATAATTTTTTTATTCTTCAAAAAATGAAGCACACTGTCCATGTCTTGGGAAGGTCATGAAAATGTTTTTGTAACCCATAACACCCAAGAACCTCTGCATATTTTTCTTTGAGATTTCAAATGTGAATGTTACTTCTTACTAGGAAGCAGATAGAGGCACTTCTATCACTGTGTTGAGCTGTGCATGTGTATGTAATCTTAGATCATTGACTAGATTGCTGAGCAAATATGCAAACTACTTTTTGTATGTGTGAAAACAAATAAAATGGTATAAACTCAAATATTTGATACTACTTTTAGTATGTATTTTCAAGTGAATAAAAAACAAACAACTAAAGCGTGGCTAAACATTGACATCCATCTTCTCCTGTACCAACCCCCTTAAAAAAACAAACTCAACTGTTTGGTTGTATTTGCTAAGATATGTTTGTTAGTGAACAGACATTGTATTATACTGGGGAGCTTGAGTCTGTTTTATGACTGATCCTCTGAAAGGAAAATGGAGAAAGATGCTGACTGTCATGAGAAATAAAACATCAGTTTCTTGTCTGTAATGTTCAGGTTTGTCTTAACCCGTTCAAGAAAAAAACTCATTTGTCCAGTTAGTTGTACTACAGTTCTGCCTTTCTTCAAAAGTCTTTCTTCCTTGAGTAATCCAATTAGTGACAGACATTTAATAATGAATTCATATGGCATAGTCATATCATGTGGTCTTCACAAAATACTTTAAAGAAGTGGTTTCCAGCAGGAGGCAATACAGTGCAGTGTCTCAAACTAGCAACCACCTATTAACCACATCACACCTTATGGACAGGAATGTTAATATGATTACAGGGTTGGCAGTTGAAGCTGAGGACTTGAGTAAGTCATTACAATTACTTTTCTTCTGGTTTAGAGAAGAAAGGGGACCTTTTAATTGGTACAGCTTGAAGGAAGTGATTTTTAAAGCTAAATAAGAGATGGTTTATAGTTCAGGAGATCATGTGTTTGATATGTTTTCAGTCCTAACTTTCATTCTGTAAAGTTTTTATTTTTTTTTAATTGGGAACAGTCAGTTCTATGCAGAGTTTTAAATATTAAAGGTGTAGAATTTGTTGTTAAGGAAAAACAGTGGTTTCACGGCTGGCAAAGTATTGTCTGTAATACTCTGATCTTGAAGCAATAACATAACTGGCAAGCAAACCTGGTTTTACAGCTTTGAATAGTTTGATCACATCCTGCTGTGCAGGAACATGCTTATGACTGTTCATGTAAAAAATTGGCATGCACCCAGTTGCTCATCTGAAGCAAGTTTAAGTACCTTTCTCCATTTTGAGGCACTGCTTGGCAGCAGGCAGCAGTTTATCATCATTGAAAACAAAGATGAGAAGCACTATGCTTGACTGCCCATCATTATCAGTTTCGACTAATGACTAATAACTGATAAATGTCTGTACTTACAACAAGCCAGCTTCTTGCTGACTTTTTTTTTTTTTTTTACATTCTGCTCAAGCAATTTCCCGCCTTTTACACCAAATAAGGTGTAGACCTCTGTGTTATCTGTGATTCACAGAGCATTAAGGCATTCTCAGCACACATGAGTGAACAGGTCTTATTGAAGTAATAAACCCAAGAGCTGTACGAAATGTAAAAACAACAAAAGTATATGTAAATGAAAAAAATTGCTTACAGATCTTGGGCCCTTAATTGAGGAATAATCACGCAACTGTTTACAATGCCTCATGACTCTCTTAGCATAAGAGTTTGAGTTTGCAACCCAACCACAGTTTGGGATGTTATTTTTAGTAATTTGAATTAGCAGTTCAGTTTAAACTTTGTGTTTTGGTACCCTTTCACACTTCCTGGTTGAGGATACTGGTCGAGTTCTTGGTTGGCAGGAGCACATCTGACAGTGTCCTCTTAGCAGCTCTGCCAGGATGCTTCCCCTACTACCTTTTCCCTTTTGCCACTGATACTTGGGAACAGGAAAAGAAAAGGTAGGAAACTGTATTCACAGTTGTTTGTGAACCAGGCAGCTGCTGTGGGTTACTGATGATTTTGGTCACGGGCTTATTTGAGGAGGGAAGTGAAGGTAAAGGGGATGTTTATTATAATTTGAGGATCCAAGGACCATGCTGGTTCACTCTTATGGCTGGTTTCCTGTGGGCAGGCAACAGCAAGTTCCTGTTG